AGGCTAACCGATAAGCAACCTCACCTATCCTCTCAAGGATCTCAAAAGGACCAATAAACCGAGGGGATAACTTCCCACTCTTCCCAAACCTCATCAGGCCTCGTCTAGGTGATATCTTCAGAAAGACATGATCAGCTACCTCAAACGCCAAAGGCCTCCTCCTACGGTCGGCATAACTCTTTTGTCGACTCTGGGCTGTAACAAGCCTCCTACGGATAAGCTCAACTTTCTCCGTCGTCTCCCTAACCAACTCCAGACCCAACAAAGGTGCATCACCCACCTCGGCCCAACACACTGGAGACCTACACGGTCGGCCATACAAGGCCTCGAACGGTGCCATACCGATGCTAGACTAACAATGGTTGTTGTAGGCAAACTCTACCAATGGCAAGTGCCTCTCCCACGTCCCACTGAAGTCCAGGACACACCCTCGAAGCATATCCTCAAGGATCTAAATAGTACGCTCGGACTGCCCGTCAGTCTGAGGATGATAGGCTGTACTAAAGATCAACTTAGTGCCCAAGGCACTCTGCAAACTCTGCCACAACCTAGCAGTAAAACGAGGATCTCTATTTGAGACGATCGTCACTGGGACCCCGTGCAATCTCACTACGTCCCGAATATACAAATCGGCAAGATGATCTACCGAATCTCTCACGCGCATAGGAATAAAGACTTAGTCAACTGGTCTACAACCACCCAAATGGCATCACTACCCCGCTGAGTCCTCGGAAGACCCACGACGAAGTCCATAGTGACATGCTCCCACTTCCACTCGGCAATAGGCAAGGGTTGCAACAAACCCGCTGGCCTCTGATGCTCGGCCTTCACTTGCTGGCAAGTAAGGCATTTAGACACGAAAACAGCCACATCTCTCTTCATACCCCGCCACCAAAACTGGCGATCCAAATCCCGATACATCTTAGTGCCTCCCGGATGCACCGTAAGACGTAAATGATAGAACTCTCGGAGTACTTCCTCTCAGCATGATTCCGGCACACACAGACGGTCTTGGTATCTCACACTCAGGTCGGGATACACCGTCAAACCCTTCTCAGCCTTCCCATTTGAGATCTTCTCTCGGAAGGACTCTACCTCAAGGTCACCTCTCTGTGCCTCTAACACTCGAGTCACGAATGTAGGCTGCGCAATAACAGAAAACAAGGCCGCAGCCTCAACTGATTCACCCAGAAGCAAGTCAAACTCGCCAAGTACACCCAACATCCCCCATTCCCGGATGGCTATACAAGCTACGTCACTAATGGATTTCCTACTAAGGGCAACGGCCACAACATTGGCCTTTCCCGGGTGATAGTGTAACTCAAAATCATAGTCCTCAATGAACTCCATCCATCTCCTCTGCTCCAAATTCAAGTCCCTCTGAGTAAACAGGTACTTCAAACTCTTGTGGTCCGAGAACACCTCGAACCTCTCACCATAAAGGTAGTGCCTCCAAATCTTCAAGGCAAAGATCACTGCTGCTAACTCTAGGTCGTGTGTAGGGTAATTCTTCTCGTGTATTTTCAACTGACGTGAGCCATAAGCTACCACTTTCCCCTCTTGCATCAACACACAACCCAAACCCTCTCGTGAGGCATCACAATAGACTGCATAACCCAACCCTCTCTCCGGAATAATCAAAACTGGAGCGGTGGTCAATCTAACCTTCAACTCTTAGAACGACTTTTCTCAAGTCTCACTCCATACAAACTTGAACCCTTTCCGCGTCAATCTAGTCAACGGTGAAGCTAGCCTGGAGAAATCTTTCACAAACCGACAGTAATACCCAGCTAATCCCAGAAAACTGTGGATCTCAAACACACTCTTAGGCTGTATCCAGTCTTGCACCGCCTCTACTTTGAATGTATCAACAGACACCCCTTCCCCGGATACCATATGGCCTAAGAATTTCACCTCTCTTAGCCATAATTCACACTTCCCAAACTTGGCATATAGCCTATGGGCTCTAAGCAACTCAAGCACCACTCTCAAGTGTTCCTCGTGCTCCTCCTCAGAAGGCGAATAGATAAGAATGTTGTCCACGAAAATGACTACAAAACGGTCTAAGAATTCCCGGAAGATTCGGTTCATTAAATCCATAAAGACTGCCGGTGCATTGGTAAGCTCGAATGGCATCACCAGAAACTCATAATGGCCATACCGCGTATGGAATGCCGTCTTTGGAATATCCTCCTCCCTGACCCTCAACTGGTGGTAACCCGATCTCAAGTCTATCTTAGAGAAACAATGGGAACCCTTCAACTGGTCAAACAGATCATCTATACGGGGCATAGGGTACTTATTCTTGACCATAGCCCGATTCAACTTCCGGTAGTCTATACACAATCTCAAGGCACCATCTTTCTTTTTAACAAAGAGGGCCGGTGCTCCCCACGACGAAGCACTAGGGCGAACAAAACCCTTATCTAGCAATTCCTGGAGCTGAACTTTCAACTCAATCAACTCTGCTGGAGCAAAACGATAGGGTGCCATAAAAATCGGCGCTGTGCTGGGCACTAAATCAATAGAGAACTCTATCTCTTGGTGAGGTGGCAAACTAACGAGATCCTCGGAAAAAACATCCGAATACTCACAAACCACCCTCGGTAAAACAATCTGGGTCTCGTCACACTCACCACTCATAAAGCTAGCAAGTAGGCTACTAAGCTTATTCCGTCCTCGCGGATCATACATCGGTGGCAACACACTACCAACCCGATCCCTCAGGAAATGGAAACACTCCCCGCTCAAGGTACAAACCGTGACCCTCTGGCGGTAGCAATCAATAACAGCCCGGTATGACGATAGCCAGTCCATACCCAAAATAACATCAAAACCCTTCATGGGCATGACCACAAACGAAAAAAGAAGCCTATGGTCGGCGACCTCTATATCACAACCCTTAACACCTTGTTTCAAGATCAACTCACCACCAATAGGCGATACCACACATATAGGAGATGCTAACTGTGCTAACTCCAATTCCAAAACAGATGCAAATGCAGTAGATACAAAAGAATGAGATGCACCCGTATCAATCAATACATTAGCAACCGAGTTGCAAAACAGAAAGGTACCTCTCACTACTGATGGAGTCGGTACTAAGTCCTGCGCGGTAACAGCATACACGCCCCCTGTAGGCCCCTGATCTACCTGCTCACCTCTAGGAGCAAAAGACTACTGCACTGACTAGGATGACGAAGCTCCCGGATTGGCCCTCGAGGCCTGCACAGACTGAGCTGGCTGATAACTGTGCGTCTGCCTAGAACCAGACGCTCCTAAAGTAGCACTCAACTGTGGGCAATACCTTTTCAGGTGCCCAGGCTGACCACACTGATAGGAAGACAAAGGCTGGCCCCTGCCTTGACTCTGGCCTTGAGGTCTAGCTGAAGAAGAAGTAGCTCGCTGACCCCCTCCCTTCTGCGGGCAAATCGAAGACTTGTGACCCAGCTGGCCACACGCAAAACAAGTCAAGCCTCCCTGACTACTTCTCCCAGAGCCCGTACTCGGCACTGGAAAGGTCGATCTAGCCACACCACCCTAAGACTGTTGAGGGTTAGAACCCCTCTGTCTTCTGCCGTCACCCTGGCCATCATGGCTCCTCTTGGAGCCTCTCTGCCCCTCATCTTCCTCCTGCATCATAATCTCCATATGAGCAGCAGCATCCACCAAACGTCTGTACTCCCGGATAAACGACCCTCCAACCCTCAGCTTGAGCCCACGCCTTAACTTCCGCTCAAACTCAAAGCAACGGCGTTCCTCGGACACCACCAGTTCAGGTACAAACCTAGACAGACTAGTAAAAGTAGCCTCAAACTCGGCCACTGACAAGCCCTGCTGTTTAAGCTGGCAAAATTACTCCCTCAGCTTCTCCCTCTCAGCTGAAGATAAAAACTTATCCTGGAAAGCATTCACAAACGCCTCCCATGCACCACTAACACGGCCTTTCTCGTACTTCCACCATTGACCCGCATCTCCCTTCAGCTGGAAGGATGCCAGGGTCACCTTCAAAGCCCCGTCCTCGATGCCCAGCATCTCGAACGTCTTCTCCATCTATTCCAACCACTCGTCCGCCTTAAGTGGCTCCTTTGGATCCCCAACAAACTCGTCCGGATTAGACCGGAAGAATTCCCTCTTCAAGAAAGAAGGCCTTGCCTCAGCAACCTGATTCTCAGCTCTGAGAATCCCCAAAGCTCCTGCTATCTCTCGGGCCAAGGCGCCCATAGCCTGCTGACCCGCTGGCTCGGCCACGTTGGCCTGACCAACTCCCTCCTGCACTGTCGGAACGTCATCCGGTAGAGGTACCTCCTGCCTACCATGCCTGCCACGCCTACCACGCCCTCGTCCTGACATCCTAATAAAGGTAACCAAGACTATTAGCACATTCACAAATGTGCCGAAGCTATAACACTCGCGTCCTAATGCATGGATAACTGTAATTCACTCCACGTAAGCACATAAACACATAAGCACTTACGAATTTCATTTCCGGATAATGATAGTCCCGAGGCGTTACTAGAGTTCCGGTTAGAAACAACATTGATCAAGTGCCTTTCCAACAAGTCACCAGTTTAAGATGAAAGATACCCACTGTGTCATCGCTAGTGATAATCATATCATCCACATAAAGAAGAAGAATAATAATGCCACGCTCTATCTGACGTATAAACAAGGTAGAATCATAAGCACTGGAGGAAAAGCCAAAGTCATGAATGGTAGAACTAAACTTAATGTATCCTTATATATCTTAATATACTAGATAACATCCCCCCTTAAGCTCAAGGTGGTAAAGCAGATATCAAGTTGAGCTTGGAAAGTAAATCAGAAAATCGTCCTGGAGGATGAGCCTTGATGAAGATGTCAACTGTCTGATCGGCAGAGGTAACAAAGACAAGACGAACAGTGCCACTAGTAACGTGTTACCGGATGAAGTGACAATCAATCTCAATATGCTTGGTGCGATCATAGAAGACATCATTATGTGAAATCTGAATAGCACTCTAATTGTCACAATAGAGGATAGTGGCAGCAGGATGGGGAATTCCCATATCAGTAAGAAGCCAATGAAACCACACAAGCTCTTGAGTAGTATCTGTAAGAGCACGATACTCAGCCTGAGTACTATAACGAGCAATAAGAGTTTGCTTCTTGCTACGCCAGGCAATAAAAGAATCACCCAAGAAGAAGCAGAACTCTGTAGTAAAGCGGTGGTCAGTAGGATCCCCGGCCAAATCGGCATAAAAAAATGCATGTAGCTGTAAAGAAGAGTGTGTTGAGTAGTGAATACCATGGAATATAATGCCTTTTAGACGGCACAAAATGCGAACTAGAGCATCATAGTGCAGAGAGCAAGGAGCAGCCATGAACTGACTGACAATGTGAACAACATAGGCAATGTCTGGATGAGTAACCGTGAGATAGACAAGACTACCAACTAGCTGACGATATAACGTAGCATCAGATAATAGGTAACCATCAAGAGATGTAAGACGAGTCTGAGGATCAACTGGACTAGTAGCAATCTTGCAATTAGTAAGACCAACACAAGCCAAGTGATCAGAGATATACTTAGCTTGTGTTAGAAAGTAACCAGAAGGATCATAAGAAATTTCCAAGCCGAGGAAATAGCTAAGCAAACCCAAATCTTTCAAGAAGGAACAGAAGTAGCCCGAAACCATGTGATAATCTGGTAGTTCTTTCCTTCTCATTCATTAAGACGCTCATCGAAAGTAGATGCAGTCTCTTTGTCTTCCTGGACAGATTTAGAAAGAGCACCAGTAATAATACACCAAAGCCGCTTCCCTTTGATGAATCCAAGGAGAGCTTGAACCTAGAGAACATAGTTGGGCCCATCAAGTGTAACAGAGACAGAATGAATGTTGTCAGAACAATCCATGATGCTCAAACAGGGCAAAAATAAGAAGAAAGTGCTTTGTAAAGGCTAATTTTGCCAAAACAGAACACGCCAGCAGATTTAGGAGACCGAAAATAGTAAGGATATGGTTGAACGGACCAAAAACACACCCAGAAAGGCACGAAACGGCTGGTTAAAGTAGGTTGACCAATCTGGTCAATTAGAGCTGATGTCACAACAAGGCGATGATGTCAGCGTGTGCGGCGCACGTTAGCAGAGAGGCGTGCGGCGCACGTTAGAAAGAAGAGCAGCAGCGGCGCACCAGGGCTGACGTCAGAAACACGCGACTCAATCTTTGAAACAAGAAGAGACTAGATACGCAGAAACCAACGTGAGCCGGAAGCAATTTGCCAAACAGAAAAAAAAAAAAAAAGAAGAAGAAGAAGAAGAAGAAGAAGAAGGGGTTAGGAAAAAACTCTAGGCTCTGATACCATATTATGAGAGTAGAAAGAAAAAAGAAAAGAAAACTCTTTGTATTCAATGTATATTAATGAATAGGTACACACTCCTTTATATAGGAGAGCAGATAAGTATTTACCGAGAATATACTATAATAGATAGGTATAAATAATATCCTAATATATCTTAATATACTAGATATACTATATTAACAAAAATAATTTAAAAAAAAATGAGTTATAACCAAACAACACATAAAGTATAATAAAAAATATTATTGAATTATAACTAAAATAATATCATAATTAATATTATAATGAATTATAACTAATAATACAATATATTATACCCAAAGATCTCAAAATTGGTGAGAAATGATATACACGGACCATAAAATTTCCCCCTTTTTTTTGGACATATGAACACGACAATAAAAGTACAAGAAAAGACAAGTTTTGAGAGAAAAAAATAATCGTAGGTGCAACAGTCCTAAACTTATATTATTTTAGTTTTTTGAAAAAAAAAAAATTTAATTTCTTTTTTTTGTGTGTGTTTAGTTTTATTAAGTTAATTTATATTTATTTTTTAAAAGTTCAATTAAACATGAGACATTGACGAGTGGAGTTTAGGCTAGACCCAGACTCAAAAAATAAAGAAATTTTGTGCCCAAGAATGACTAGGCCGAGCTTAAAAATCTATCACATACCTAATATTAAAACGCCATTCCAGTCCCAAACACGTTCAATGAACTCATATATTAAATAAAAAAATAAATTTTATAAAATAAAAAATGAATAGCATCAAATAAAAAAAATTATAAAATAAAAAATCAATAACATTGTAGTTAAGTTACAATAAAAATTAGTTTCCTTCATTATATTCAAAGTTCAAAGCTTGGTAAGTATATTTTCATTGTAAGTGCAATTTTTTTACTCAAAACAAAAATAAAATTAAATAAATTGTATATAGAGATTCATATTTTACATATAATTTATAAAAAATATATATATTAATAATTTGGTTAAACCAGGCAGTACTTGGCTCAAAAATTATTGCCAAATGCAATTCATTTAACAAAATCAAGTTAAAAAGTATCCAGTCCAATCCTATAAACTTAAGAGTAATGATTCATCCCCTTTTTTCCCCACCTCCTTTGACCCTATCTCTCTCTCATTGATTAACTTTTCTTTTTCTTTTTCTTTTTTTTCCTGCTCCACCAATCACCCCCTGCCACGTGGCAAGGGAGTGAGGGGGTGACCCCCAAAAAGGGTCCCAAGCATTATTCTAAACTTAATTATCAATCTCAAACATTTGAAAATGTGGATGGGATGGGCCACCCAGTCAATGGCCGCCCTATGAGCCTAATTATCAATCCTAAATTTTTAAAAATGTAGATTAGGTGGGCCACTTGGTCAATGGCCACCCCTCAATCTTAAATGTTGGTATTTTGTATTTTCATTTTCATTTCTCGAGTCATTTCTTGGATTCTCTTCTTCCTATTCATACTCTTATCAAGGAAATTATTTAATAATTTCAAAACATTACATGACTATACTTTAAGTCAATTATTAATTACTTAATCTTATATTGTTCTTTCATTCTCAACATAAATTGTAGATCCCTATCTATCTCTACCAATTAAAAACTTGTGAAACATCACGTATTCATATTCCGAAAATACTGAATAATCACCCTCAATCAAAAATGTAGATTGGTGAGATGTTTCTCTTCTTATTTGTGTGAGAAAAAAATATCAAATAAGTTATATTTTTTTCATTAAGTCATTATTAATGATATATTGATAGGATTGAATCATGAGTTAATAGTATTTTTATAAGAAAATTAGAACTTAACTGAAATTTTTCCTTTTTTTCAGAGAAACATTGGTACATAAGAATAAATATGAAAAAAAAAAATACAATCCTAAAGAGGCCACGTTGAAAAGTAATATCACATCTTATTTTCACAAGTTGCCATTGAATTTGAATGAAATAAATTGATTATATCTTATTTAAGCATCGACTTATTTGTTGACTTATAAACTAACTTATAAATTGATTTATAAAATGCGACCAAAAGATTATATAATAAAGTGTAAGCAAATTATGTAAGTTGAGCCAACACGAGGTCAGCCAGTGCCTTATTGTAATACATAATTCCAATCAAGCTATTGCTGAAGTTTTCAATACAAAAACAACATTATAGCTGAAGTTTGAGTTCAACCCTTTTCAAAATTAGAACAGGGTCAACTTGGAGCTAATAAACTATCAGTCTTTAATACATTGTTTATTAAGTAGGAAGCCATATAATTAAGCTCCCCAAAGTTCAATTTCACTAGTTTCTTATCATGTAAATAGAAATGGTGCATCAATCCTTTCTTTTATTAAGCTTTGGCACATGTTCTTTTTCAGAGTTGGCACGTACAAAATCAAGAGCTTCACCAGCTTGTAACTCTTTCGAGATTCGAAGATTTCTGTAATCTAGGTAAAAGAAAGGAACATACAAGCGCGGGTGTGAGAAATCCACTAATTCTGTGGGGGCTTCCACTTTTGCCTCCTTTGGTCCCAACAGAAACGAAGCAATTGACATTCTTGTTCTTGGTTCCTTGCATACTACTCTATGCTTCACATTGCATAATCTCCCATTACTCCATACCTTTCACATTCCGACAAGCACAGGAAAAAAATATCAGCACAATCTGTATTTGTGCAAAAGTGAATTCAATATTGCTAGACACCCACAATTTGAACTCCTAACAATGACGTGGCAAAAGAGATAGGTCCCATATAATTGAATATATGACAAATTAAAATTTGACATCTATCACAATGAGAACTAATTTTTTTGGAACAGGTTTTGAGACGTATCTAACGACACCTTTTGCTGCTGGGTTACAGACAAAGTCATCCCTAGAATTGAAGAACTCCCACGAAATCCTTTCCCTTAATCGTAACTATTTAGACAGAAGATTTTTTGATATATGGAAAACAAATAAAAACTGATGTATTGCAGACTGTTTAGTATCTATTGATGAAAAAGACATTCATAACCCAATCCAACAGATTTGACTACTGTAACAATTGGTCCAAAAACATGGATCTGGATCCTTTGTCCAGATTTGGTGTGTCCATAGGAAAGGATTAAATGGTTGAGATAAAGCAACGTAATAATTTGAAGAGTAAGCTCATCTTTTATCCATACGGTGCCGTTTTTCATCCTAAAAGAGTAGATCAATTTCTGCCTTTGTCAATTCCATTAAATTAATTAATTAATTGGTTGGCTCACCAAATAAATAAATAAATTGGTAGATTTTTATATGTTAAAATAAAAAATTATTATGATGCAGCACAATGTTTAAATCTGAGATATTGAATTTCATTAAGAACGCACTTACTATTTAAGCAATTTATATATTATGATATTAATTTCTTTATTATTTATTTTTATTTTTACTTACACACACATCGGATGTGTTACCAGCTAGTACTATTATTAAGTAAACGTCTCAATTGGTATAGTGAAAATTTTACTCTCTACATGTCACGTGGCAGTGTTTTCATTTTAAAAAGAGAAAAATTATAACACCCAAAAAGGTGAGAAGACTTGGACCCATAGAAGACTCATACCACTTGAGTTAAGTACACGTATCGCCTGTGTCACTGGCTAATATTTTTATCATACTACGATATGCTGACACTAAATCTGAATGAAAGATCCAAATTCCGAAAACATATCTATCTATTCAGGTAAATAATTGATAAAAAATAACTGTGCACGCAATATATCACACAACGCACATTTTAGGCTTGTTGCGCGTAATGGATTCTTAGAAATAAATGAACCCATTCAAGTTTTGTTGATTTTCCAATGTGGGACAATAATAAAGGCAACTATGCAATCAAACAAGAGAAAATCTCAACAAGATTTACCCACCTTAGCAATGTCTCCGAGATTGACAAGAAGAGTTCCCGGCAAAGGCTCCACTGCAACGAATGTGCCAGACTTGTCCATGACTTCAAGACCGCCAACGTTTTCATCCTCCTGAAGTATGGTGAGGAACCCTGAATCGGTGTGTATTTGCACACCGGAGGAGTTTACAGTCTCGGGGCTGAAGTTGTATTTGTTGATCCTAAATTGACAAGGCCATCCCTCAAATGAAAAGCTAGCCAACCCCATACCTTGAGCTAGCTTGCTAGCAATATCCATAGCCAACTTGTGTATTGCTTGAGCATACATTTGTATAGTTTCTCTAGTAATAATTGCAAACAAGAAAGGGTGAGAATTGAAAACAACTTCCGTGGTAGACATTGCAATACAAAAAGAAGTATGCCCCAATATGTGCAAAAGCAAAATATTGCCCTTACTCTTACCCTTCGCCTCTCAAATTTTTCCCCTCATCTTGTTTGAGGTTCATGGGGAATGTTTTGGCATTCCCTTAACAAGGTTTCATACAAAATTAGGAATCAAATTCAGATAAAGTGATTTGCTCATCCAAGCTTCTATTTACACGATATTTTTTCTCTCATTATATCCACATTTTCATTACGCTCAATTAAAATTTTTTCAAATTTTATTGTCTTTTTAAACCCCTCAATATCCCAAGTTCATGACCAATGGCTTGGCCTAGCAGACAAAATACTCCCGTAACAAGCACGATGCCTGAGTTCAAGTCTTACCATTGTGTTATGTAGTTTCCAAGAGCTCACCTGGGCTAAGACTAATAAGGCTTGTGCCTAGGACCCAAAAAATTAAGTTAAAAAAAAAGGATTTTAAATTCATTAGTTTTGTATTATATTAAAAATTAAAAATGGTCCAATACTATTTTATTAATTGAGGTCAGTTTGAAGGGTTCCAAAAAATTCTGCTTAGCCTAATTGATAAAACAAGGCCAATTAAAAAAAAAAATTAAGAATTAGTTGTTAGCCCAATTGAAAAAATAAAATATAAGATATATGTATTTGAATTAGTCTTTACCTCAATTCTTTTTGTCCTATTTTTTTTTATAGCCTAATTATGTGTTTTTTTAGTTAATTTTTTTATTATTTAAAGCAAATTTTTTTTATTATTTTGTAAATACACCTAATCTAGATACACTTAAAAAGTATAACATTTGTGATTTTTTTTTTAAAAAAATAGATATTTACCAATAAATCCCATCTCACAGACAAGTACTCCAATTAGTTTTAAATTTTTTCTATTGATCTATTAAGTCCTATTAGTGGAGATTTTTTTTCTGTGTAGTCTTATATTTTTTTTTGGTAGTGTTTTGGTGACAACTATTCCTTTTTAATAATGTAACATGTATGATGTGATACTTCAATGTAACATGTATTAATGTGACATTCTAATGATGTGACACTCTAAAAAAATTTAAAACTCCTTAGTGTACTTTTTTCAAATGTGACAACGTGGCGGGTATGATGTGACATTCCAAGACTTTTACTCTAAAAAAAATTAAAAACTCCTTCGTGTATTTTTTTCAAATGTGACAACGTGGCGGGTATGATGCGACACTCTAAATTAGTGTATTTTTTTCAAATGTGACAATGTAATTTGTTTGATGTGACACTAAAAAAAATAAAGCCCCTTAGTATAATTTTTTCAAATGTGACAACGTGGCGGGTATGATATGACATTTCAAAAAAAATAAAAATTCTTTAGTATATTTTTTTCAAATGTGACGTGTCACTCCAACAAAACGTATATGATGTAACACTCGAAAAAAATTAAAAATTCTTAAGCGTACTTTTTCCAAATATGATACTCCAACGTGACGGGTATGATATGACACTAAAAAACTCTATAGTGTACTTTTTTTAAATGTGACACTTCAATGTGACGGGTAAATGAGTTATTACACCTCCAAAAGGATTAAATTGATCACAAGAAAAAATATGAAACTATATAGATTAAAGTCCAAAATAAGGCCTCGTTTGGGGACTTACATTTTTAGCCAAAAAGCTAAAAAGTTACCGTTTTAGCCAAAAAGTCAACAACTCATACAAAAAAGTCAAAGATTCTCTTTTCTCTCTACTTTTTGCACATCTTTTCGTAATTAGCCAAAAAGTCATCCCAAACATATAAATTTTTTTTACCTACCTTTTTAGCCAAATAGCCAAAAAGTTATTAAATTAGCCTGTTCCCAAACGAGGCCTAAGAGACTTATAGGTCAATTTTCCTAAAAAAAAATTACCAAACACAAAAAAAATATTAAAAAATATGAATTATAAATTTAAAAAATTATTTTTAAAAATTCTAAACTAAACAAAATTATTATTATTATTTTTTTTATGAATATCTTAAAGGCCTCCAAAAAAATTATTTCACCATAAATCTCAAAAATCCAAGACGCCAAGACGGGCCCAGCTAATTTCTTATTTCCCTATTTTCCTCTTATCCTCACACCGATTATGTATATATATATATATATGAATAAATAAATAAATGCTCCAAATATATCCTCATGTCAAATCACACATCTTTTCCTTACCCCAATCATCTTCTCTCTCTCTCTCTCCTCCTTCCCAACATATATATATATATATTTTTTTTTTATAACTCAGGTATTTGAGAATTCTCTTTTTTTTAAGGTGAAAAATATTTGAGAATTCTAGAGAAAAAGTTCTACAGAAAGAATTAAGGGTTAGCTTCATCATGTAATGTGATGTTTTTTTTTTTTTTTTTTTTTTTTTTTTTTTCACATCACTAAAGTGCATATTAAAATTCTATTTTTAGAGTTCAATATCATTGTTCTTTTGTAGATATAGAGTTTCAAGGCAGTGATATAGGTGGTGCCTAGGATTTTGCAAATGGTGGAAGGGAGGTAGCAGAGATTGTGGGATGGAAAGGAGAGGTGGTGGGGTGTGTCCGGGAGGGAAGGGCGGGGGTGACGAATCTGAAAGGTAAGGGGTTTAAGGGTGGTAGTGGCGGTAGTCAAAGAAATGGAGAGATGAGATGAGATGTTAGTGGTGGATGATTTGAAAAGGATGGCAGCAAGTGGTGAAGGGTAGAGAAAGGTGGTGGCTAGTGGTTGAGAAGTAGGTGTATAGAGAATTTTGCGTTTTGAATTTTTAAATTTTTGTTGAAAAGGTAATTTTGTTAAGAGGTAAAATCACAATAAAAAATAAATAATAAATAACGGGGGTAAAGCGGCGAAAACATGGTGTAAATAGAAGCTCCCTTTGCTCGACCTCAGCTTCTCAAAAATTATTTTTCTCACTTACATGAATTATTACGAGCGCCTTAACCATTTTAAAACATTTGATCATAAAACAAATGGATGCAAATATGACACATTTATGTATGCAGGAAAGACTTTTCAATTATCAAAAAGAAATTTTGGTTAATCACAATCAAATTTGTATAATTAATAGGGAAAACATTTAGAATATTCGAAAGAAAAGAAAAAAAAAAGGTGCAAAACTTTAATATTTAGATTTTGTCAATGTACACTTGAAAAATAAATAAAAATAATAACAATTGACGTGAGTAGGCTCATAAAGGCCATAACCCACTATAAACAATCAAAGCCTACCACTTAGGGCCCAATACATAACCCAACTGATAAGGCCCAGCATAGCTGGAAGTCAACATGACATGAAGGACCAATGATATTCAGACACGTGGCAGGTAAAGGGCAAGTCACCTCAGCAAACAAAGATCTGCAAAGTTATTGCCACTGCACATTACTATTAATGCAGCCCCTCACAGCATTTATTACGACAATACCTCTTCGTCGGGACAGCACGCCCTCACCCTGAACAAGGTAAGCTACAGCATAGGTGACAGGTCGGACGGGACAACAAAATGATTACCAAAAGATATAAGCAGACGTTGAAGATAAGAAAAAGGTTAAGTTCTCTATTTCTAATTCATATCTCTACATTCCACTTCTCTCTCTCTAACTTGCTCGTCGGAGGGTTCGCTGGGGGACACCCCGTTCCCCGTTGAACTCTTGTGCAGGTTCTCAGGTGGGCTTGACCACTCAGATATCAGCTCGAGAAGCGTGGATCAGTCCGACCCGTTCTACCAGGAACCCGTTGTATCATAACTGTATCATCAGTTGGTGCCGTATATGGGAACGCTTTGCTCCGCGCGCCAGTTGTGCTCATTGTCGCTGGGGACCCTGTTCCAATAACCTTTTCCTACTACCCATCAACGTGTATGGGGTCACGACTAGATCCATGGCTTCTCACCAAAATGCCGCCGACCATCAAGCCGACCCCCCCAATCCAAACAACTCACCACAGTATTTCATCGAGCTTACTAACAGCATCAACCGCATGGCCGAGCAAAATCAAGCCCTGATAAATGCTCTACTCCAAAGGGACCTTTCTCTGCCTCCTCCACCACCTCCAGATATTCCGCCTAACCAAGAACGAGTCCCGAGCCATACTATCCTGCAGCCCTATCCACCCAACTTGGAAGGCCTGCAACCTCCTCCTCCTCATATAAATCCACCACCTCGACCCCCACATCCATCGGTCCTGGCACCAACACCTGAGGGGGAAGCCAGTAGCGTCCAAACCCTGCTCCCTTCCGGTGGTGATAACATCCCTCTCTAGGATGCAGAACTCCGAGCCATGAAGCTCCAACTCCAAGGGGTCATGCAGAACATCTAACATAAACCCTCTACCACAGTAAACTCACCATTTGTTGCCTCCATCCGAGACAAACCCCTACCCCCTAAGTTCAAAATGCCCACTATCGACTCTTTTGACGGCACGACGGACCCAGTCTACCATCTAGAAACCTAAAGAACCCTCATGATCCTCTATGCATTCCCTGACGAGATCATGTGTCGAGCTTTCCCCGTGACACTGAAGGGGTCAGCTCGGCTATGGTTTAGCCAGTTACTAGTAGACTTCGTCTCCACTTTACAGCATCTCAGTGACTCCTTCCTCAGTCATTTCATTGGAGCCCAGCGCTAGCGCCGTCCGACAACCCAGCTCCTCAACATCCGCCAGACCGAGGGGGAGTCCCTGCGTAGTTTCGTTACCCGCTTCAACATCGAAGCCTTGCAGGTGGCGAAAAACGATGATAAGGTCATCCTTATAGCTTTCATGGCCAGTCTACGGTCGTCCGATTTTTTGTTCTCCCTCTCTAAAAACCCCCCGACCTCCATGGCAGCCTTACTCTCCAAAGCCCAAAAATACATGAATGTAGAGGATTTCCTAGCTGCCCGGCAAGATCCAATAACCAAAAACCCGACCCCCAGAGAAAAGAGAAAAGACTCAGAACCCAGAAACA